TTAGATGCGGAATTAAATGATTTTTGCTTAGTACTTGTACTTTTACTTGTACTTTTTACTCGTTACTTTTTAAAATATGAACTTTTTACTTTTTACTCGTTACTTTTTAAGAGTAACGTTGCCATATATGCACTTTACCCTACTTGCATTGAGTAAATATTTTAGTAAACGCAGAATATCTTTTTTATGAATCTTAAATAATTTAAAATATTTTATATTTTTTACGTTTTTACAGGAGAAAACAAATAATTATAAACTTTTAGTGCATTTAATGGAGTTTAATATTAATGCTTAAAAAATATTAAGAGCCAGCGGGCATACGGGGGTTAACATAAACAAGAAAACTTCTTTTTGATGTCTTTTCTGTAAATTTCAACACTATAATTTAACTGCAGTGTTTCATTTTATTTTTTATTTTAAAGCAATTGGTATTTAGTGGTTTAAAATTCCCAAGTGATTTCTCTGAATTTAGCTCAATTATTCGTTAGGAGGTAATAATGTATAGCTTAGGAGTTCGTCAATAACTAATTGATTTTTCTTTGAGAGTTCCGATGTCATTTCCTGAAATTTTGACACTAAAACACATCTCTAATATTAATTTCATTTTGATTTTAAAACAACTGGCATTTCATGGCTTAAAATTTGAGAACTGTTTCTCTGAATTAAGCTCAATACATTGTTTAGTAGTCCATCAATCCTTTAGCTATTTTGGACTCTGTAGAGATATTCCGAGGCTTTCTAAAGGGATCGTTGATTGGAAAAGTCGAATGAGAAAGAACAAAAGAATATTTACAAAGTTCTGTTTAGGAAACTAAATTTTTATTCTCATTAAGTTTGAAAACAAAATTTTAAAAAATCGTTAATTATTGTTGAAAAATCATGTTATCTAATATATTTACATAAATAAATTTTTGTAAATATATAAGAATATATAAATAATAAGAATACAGTAAAAAAAATAAATTTGCTACTTTTTTCATCTGATTGTGACATATCGATGTTGCAAATGGCAGTCATTTTTAAAATGGTGTTTTCTTTTGACAGTAACGCCATCTGTTGACGAAACTCGTTGCTAATTTTAAAACTTGTTAAGAATAAATAAACTGGTTTCTTGAGCACCTAAGGATAATTTTAATTAACTCACGGGTATGGTGGTGGGTTGATGCAAAGCTTCAAGAGATGGTCTGACAACATATTTGTGTGTGGTCATGGAATTCGTGTAGCTCTCGAGCCTGGGGGCGGCTTCTAATTGGTAATCCAAGACGCAGTGGTCAGAATCTTTGAAGAGTTCCAAGAAAATGGAATTTGCGAAACTGTCCTTTCTGGAAACTTTCCTCGGTAAACCTAAACATAAAAGAAAAATAGATAATTAAACAAGAAAGAAATCAGTGCTAGCAAAAGCAATTTATTACTATTTTGATAATTTAGAATTATAGGAAGATTGCATACCCATATTAACAGTTTAAAAAGATATGGAACGCTTCGGAGTCATAAAATGTGGTAAAATTATTATGAATTCTATTTGTTGTAAAAACTTCAGCTTAAGTTCATTATTCCCTGAAAAGAAATATTTCTCAAATATTGAAGGCCGCCATGACAGTCGGTGCAAAGCGTAATTTTGGCCCGAGATTATTTTTATTTGCTTTTTTTTATTGCAAAAAACTAAAATTTGTGACTTTGCGAAATCGTTCTTCGCTAACCCATTACGTATACAGTGTTGCCAACTTTCTGCGCTTTTTGAGAAAATTTCTTCTAGTGGTTATTCTTTGTTTTGGGAATTTAATTTAAAGTCATTTTCCACTACACTACATGCAAATCTAAATATTCCCCGCAGGTTTGTCGTAATGTTTTTTTTCTGTGGTTTTTTCTGTGTGTGTGTATATAAATACGTTAACATTAAATTATCACTTTCCTTGTGGCAATATTTTTTTATAATCGTCGTTGAACAGCCGACCCAATTTTTAGGGTTTACGACAACTAACGCTCAACTCCGTAACCTTGTAATTTTGAACCCAATCCAGAAGACAAAGAAACTCCAGGCTCAAGTAATGGGACAAATTAGCCTTCGTGGAAAACTTTTAGAAGGAACCAACCTGCATTTGCATTATATGGAAAGGAAAACCACGAAAACCTCCCACTGTTAACCTCACGGCAAAGGGAACTCTAACCCATGACTCGTCTACCACTGAGGATATTTTACGTCAGCACTGTGGTCAGTGCAAGCTGGATGCGGAATTCGTATCGACCAGATATCGCTGGGATTCGAACCCGGTTCACCTCATTGCAAGGCGAACTCTCTATCCCCTGAGCCATCACGGCTCATGGTAGCAAAATTGAGAACTTTTTGAAATATGCGATTTTAGTCTAGAAATTTGATTTCGACTGATGCCATGATTTTTTTTTTTTTGAAATACGATCCCGGCATATATAGTGAGTCGCAAAAATTTTCCAATCTAAAGATAATTTCTTTTTTTTTTACGAAAATGAGAGAATGAAATACATTTCCTATAGTGAACAAATATTTTATTGAATCATATATTATCTATTCTGATCCAACATTGTTTGTCATCTTTCGAACGGTAGCATGATTCCACGCGCATAAAAGTTTTGTTCTTTGCTGGCAAAAAAAGATTATCCAAGTGATTTTCTAGACCTTATTTGAACCTTATTTGGAGTAATCAATTTTTTCAATTGTAAAAAGCTACACATTTCATACATTTTGAACATAAATAAAGATATCTTTATATTAAACAATAGCTATACAATGCAAAAATTTAAAAATAATTCTAGCTTAACTCCAAATTTTTGCAGTATTTAATTTATAACTATTCTCTTTAAATTGTGAAATGTGATTTTTTGACGAAAATTCGAACTTAAATGTTTTTTTTTTTTTTTTTTTTTTTTATAATCAAGTTCACGGAGATTGATACTACACATTGCAATTCAGAATTATCTTTTACGATCCAATAAAAGAACAGATTTGTTTCAATTTCATTGAGATCGTAAATTCCATCGAGTAAAGTGACCTTAAACGAAAATTGCGAGACCGCTTGAGGCCTACACAGAACAAAAACACAAACCAAGTACACAAAGTAATAAATTCTATTGACTTTAAGCAATGTGCGGTTGACGCGTAAATAATAAAATTTTCTTGAAATAGGAGGAAAATAGAAATCCCTCAAAAATCAGACAGTCGCAGACAGCTTGGCGACTTCGCATTATACAATACAGCATTAACATATACATTGCGGCAATATCGTGACGACTGTTTTCGAAATAAACGATTCAACTGTACTTTAATTCAGGCTAATGATAGGATTTGTTTCCTTTAACAATATCACTACGTTGTGAAATTTTGAAAATTATAATCTTAATATTCATTAAAAAAAAAAGAAGGAATATATATATATATATATATCTTTTTTTATGAAAAAGGAAAGGAAATTTTCTTATAGTGAATAAATATTTTATTGAACCATATATTATCTATTCTGATCCAACATTGTTTGCTATTTTTCTAACGGTAGCATGATTCCATGCGCATAATAATTTTGTTCTTTGCTGGTAAAAAATATAAAAAAATGATCCAAGTGATTTTTTGCCTTATTTACAGTAAAATATTACAGTCTAAAACTTTTTGCTGAGGCCAAAACATTGTGGTATAGTTTGTCTATAGAAAGAAATCTCCTCGCCATGAAGTCTAAGGCTGTCTGCTGCTATGGAAGAAAAAATAGCTCATTTCAAAGATTGGAGCTTTTTCTCCCCTGATTTCCTTTCACTCGCCGACTCTAGTCAAAACCTGTCTTAAATAATAACCCAACACCCCTACTTGAAATAGTTAAACCTCGTAACCTTGGCCACCGCCACCACTCCAGACGAATGGCTAGGGGAGTTCTTTACATGGACAAACTATAGACAATCCATTTCTCGTCC